TCACTTTAACTGGCGTAAAATTTGGACAACAGGAAGTGCCAAATATTCCTATTTTCTGGTTGGAATATTTGAGTTTAGCCAAGACTCCATCACCCTAATTCCAGTTTCTCAAACATGGGATAACCATAGCTTTTTCTATCACCCAGTCCACTTCAGTAAATTAATTACCATCGGACTTGTTCGATTGGCTCATGCATGCAAAAATATTGGAATGTTACGGTTGAAAGTGATTATTTTGCCCAATGTGAAATTAATTTCTAGGTCTATTACATGCAACATTTGAAGACAGAACTGGGATTGTGCTCCGTAAGTGTGAAACTAAATTGAATGAAATAAAAAAATTGGGGAAAGATTTAGGTGTACCACTTCAGTAACAGAGAAGCCTGCAGGGTTTCTAAAACATGCATGTTTAGACTGAAAACAATACATTTATTTGTTCGATCTGATTATAGTTATAGGGAGAGAATTAAAAATAGTTATGGTACAAATCAGATCAGGAAGCTGAATGCTTTTCCTTTCTTACATACACTCAAGGTTGGCTTATTTTACAAAATATACACTCCACATATATTAAACCTAATACCTACCATGTTTCCCCGAAAATAAGACCAGGTTTTACTGTATAAGATGCACCTTTTTCCTTCAAAAAAGAGACTGAAAATCTGGGTGCGTCTTATACACTGAATACAGCATTTTTTGCCTCCAGAACCCCACCCCCTTCACCAAAATCGCCGTGCATAGCCTTTAGGCAGCTCTCAGTGTTCCTGGAAGCTGGGGAGGGCAGAAAATGAGCAAAAAACGGGCTGTTTTTTGCTCAATTTTGCCCCTCAATCCCAAGGAGCACTCTATAAGCTTCCTAAAGGCTATGCATGCCTTTTTGTTTTTGAAAAAAAACCTTGGGCCATTTTCGCAAAAAAAACTGGGCCTTTTTTGCTTGTTTTTGCCATATACACCCCCGGAGCACTCTACAAGCCTCCTAAAGATTATTCATGCCCTTCTTTTGAAAAAAACAGGCCCATTTTAGCCCCCCCCCAAAAAAACGGGCAATTTTGGGGAAGTCTGCAGAGTGCAAAAACTTTTTTAAAAAATTTGCCTCCTCAAAATCTTGGTGCGTCTTATGCTCCGGTGCGTCATATACTCTGAAAAATACAGTATATTATTTTTTTGCGGCAAAAGATGCATTAGGGCTTATTTTCTGGTTAGGTCTTATTTTGGGAGAAATATGGTACTAATTACATCTGTCTGGCTGATAGTCTTAATTGGGGCTTATTTTTGGGATAGGTCTTATATTATGAGAATCCTGCAAAATCATGCTAGGTTTTATTTTCCGGTTGGGTCTTATTTTCAGGGAAACAGCCAGGGTATAAGTAATCTACTTATTGGTGCCTAATGATATTTCAATATGTGGCAGTGTTGTAGCTAAAAGTGAAAAGTGACAACACACAACACATTTTTTAATTCTGTTTTTTTTTGTTTTAACCGCCAACCTTTTCCTGTAATAAGGCAATATTCTTTTCCTACCATTTAAGGACTGGGAATTTTGTTACTCAGAGTGTAATATTCTTTTACTTTACACTTAGCCCTGTATGATTGTCTACCATTCAGCCTTTATACAGGTGGTCATCAATTAAAAGCCAGAGATAATAGTTATTTTAAAGATTGTAAAGACTATGTTTTGACTATTTTTGAACCTTTGGCACAGTGATGGAATTCATTTTTATTTTTTTTACTATTGGTTCTGTGGGAGTGGCTTGGTGGGCATGGCAGGGGAAAGGTACTATAAAATCTCCATTCCCACTCCACTCCAGGATGTGGTTACATGACCACGGAGAAGTATTCGGACAGTGCTGGCTCTTCAGCTTTGAAACAGAGATGAGCACTGCCCCCTAGAGTCGGGAACGACTAGCACATATGCGCGAGGGGAACTTCTACCTTTATGTAATGACTGTGGGCCTCAGAGTTCAAGGATTGATATATAGTACAGTTAGGCCTTGTGTAACTGACAGATTGGATACCAAAGTGTGATTTTAATATAGATTTTATCTGTTATTATTTTATTTTAGAATTTTTAATTGGATATTCCTCAAGTGTTTTTATTTGTTCTGGTCTCTGCTGTTTGACTGCAATAAACTTGATCTGATTTGAAACTGAGTTTTTTGCGCTTCATATGCCAAACCTTAAATATGAACGTGATTCTGAATTCCCTTCTTTTCTACCGTTGTTCAAAACATGAAAACCATAAAGCCTTAAAATACCTTAAATCAATCCAAACAAGCAGACTAACCTAATTCAACACTAACCATGGTTAGCCTGAGCCTGCAGCCATTAGGTTCTCAATAGTCTGGCATTTCTATGCTGCATCAGAATCGCCTTATAAAATTGAATCCACCCATTTTCTAAAAGGGACCGTGGTTGAAAATTAACGGCTGCTGTATTTTTTTTGGCATTATTTAATTCATTCAGCCCTGGGTAATAGCCATTAGTTTAAATATAGCAGACGCTCAATAGGATTTGTCCTCCGTGTTGAATCATTAGCTCTCTGCAACACAAAAGTGTCTTTCGGCAGGATTTTAAGGACCACAAAAGGCACGCAAGGCTCCATCACAAGCGCCCTCTGAAGGCTGACTTCAAGAACCGCAGCTCACAAAGCAGGTATAAAAGGACTCTCAGATGATGGGGGTTTTTTTTTGCAGAACATTTAGGCTTTTGTTCAGCACATTTTCAAGTTCATCACTGATATTTTTTCCTGTCGTTGCTATCTGCTGTTTTCCAAAAGTACAGCTCTGTATCCCTGAATCCAAATTAGAAAAAAAAAGCACGGCAAAAGTAAAATGTATTATAGGCTAATAAAACAGCAAGAAATGTAGTGGATTACTGGCTAATTTTGCACTCGTTTCCTATTTCACAGCAATGTTTATAATGAGGTAAACTCACTGACGGCAGGATGCTATAAAGGTTGGAGCTTAGATTAGGGCCAAATTCAAATCCACTCTCAGTCATGGAAATATACTGAGTTTATTTTTATTTTATTTATTTATTTGGTTTGTCGAGCATGTATGAGAAAACAAGTATGAATATAACATATAAACATATAAGTATAAGCAGGTACATGTATATACATAAGAAATGAGTACAAATAGATGGGAACAGTAGGACAGGGACGGAAGGCACGCTAGTGCGCTTATCAACGCCCCCTTTACGGACCTCTTAGGAAAGGGGTGAGGTCCACGGTAGACAGTTTAAGGTTACAATTTTGGGGGTTTGAGGATGTAACAACAGAGTCGGGCAGTACATTCCAGGCATTGACCACTCTGTTGCTGAAGTCATATTTTCTGCAATCGAGTTTGGAGCGGTTTACAGTAGCTTGAGTTTGTATCTATTGTTTGCCCATGTATTATTGCGGTTGAAGCTGAAGAAGTCGCTGACAGGTAGGATGTTGTAGCAGACAATTTTGTGTACTATGTTAGGTCAGATCGTAAGCGGCGTAGTTCTAAGTTGTCCTGGTCCAAAATTTCAAGTCTAGTGGCATAAGGTATTCTATTGTGAGCAGAGGAATAGAGGACTCTTCTTGTAAAATATCTCTGGACTCGCTCAATTGTATTAATGTTTATTAGACAGTGTGGATTCCAGGCAGATGAGCTGTATTTGAGAATTGGTCTGGCAAAGGTTTTGTATGCCCTGGTTGGCAGTGCAATGTTATTCCGAGTCAGCCACATCCTCTCAGTTCAATGTAACTCATGGAATTAGCGATGTAGGGAAAAATAGGAGCACCATGTAGGCAATTGTACAAATAGATTTTTCACATATGAAAAAAAGTTCATTCTCTGTTGTTATACATACACAATGTTGGCCCAATGTAAGTTGCTCTTAACTCAAAGACATGATTCGCATCTCCCGTTTCCATCCCAGCAATTGAAAGCTGACCCTTATCTCAATCCAGAAGACAGGATAGCATCCTCTAGTTCAGGGGTCACCAACTTTTCGGACCTCAGGGACCACTAAATTCATAATTTTAAATCCCGCNTTGTCTGAAACGGTATAGGGTTTCCTGCCTAGGCAGGGGGTTGGACTAGAAGATCTCCAAGGTCCCTTCCAACTCTGCTATTGTATTGTATTGTATTTCCTATTTGTACATTCTTTCATATAACTAATAAAATAAATAATAAGGGAAAAAACCAACAAGACTACCAGTTTAAAATGTTTTCAATACTTGTTACCGTATATTACAACAAACACACCAATCCCCAGACTTACATTATATTGTACCGTGTTTTGGAATTAACCATTTTCCCCCAAAGATTAAATCTTGACCAGTGGGGTAGAAATACATTTCCAATGCAAGCTCCAAAATGGAAAAGAGATGAGTGCCTTTACAAACAAGCCAGACAATAGAATCTTTATACAAAGCATCATTTACATCAGCTTTCCACACTGCATTGTCCTCCAGATGTACCAGGTCTACTGACCTTATAGGGAATTATGCAAGCTGCAAGTAATGGATTTGCAAACTTCATATATCTGGAAATATCTGGTTGTGCAAAGTCTAGATGAGGTGGTGGCAGGATGCCACTGAAACTATATTGTTCTTTTAGAAGTTGGATGCATTTATGTAAAGTCTGCATGGTTGAAATTCTCTGCAGACAAGTTTCAGGAAGAAAATGGGAGAGAAATTATAGATCACAACTACTGACCTGTATTAAAAATGATGCTTCACATTTTCCTCAATCTTCCACTTACTTCACACAAGCTGACTTCATACAAGGATATTGCCTGCATATATCATCAAATCTGATCAGCATAATCATTTCTATTTCCAGGCTAATATATGTTTCTAGATTTATTACACTGGCCATTATAGTACCGATGGTTTTTAAAACGCAACCGGATTTCCTTTGTTTTTGCTTGAAGTCATTTCGCTTCTCATTCTTCTTCAGTTCAGCCAGAACTGAAGAAGCTTCTTGGATGAGAAGTGAAATGTCTTCAAGGAAAAACAAAGAAAGTCCAGTTGCCTTATGAAAAATCACCTTTGGGACAACCATGACTCGGGCCGGTTCTCCCAAACCAGTAGTAAAGAATGCTACCAGTTCAACTGGACTGGTTGTAAAAAAATGCTACGGTTTGGCTGAACCACCGTACGACAATCAGCTGTGCTGCGCGAATGATATTCGCTAGAAATCGCGTGGCACAGCTAATGGTCACACAGCTGGTCATCGGCATGAAAATGCTTTAAAAGTTTTTAAAAAGTTCCGACAACCAGCTCTTTGACCATCAGCTGTGCCGCGCGATTTATATTGACTAGAAAGCAGGAAATCCTGCTTTCTAGAGAATTTAAATCGTGCGGCACAGCTGTTCCTCCCCCCTCGCTGTTCTACTTTCCTTTGCAGACTTAGAAAAGGCTTCTTAGCACCTGCATTTCACCCCTGCACTGGCCATTATACAAAGTGACTTTTTCTCTACACACAAATGTAATATTCGTCAGACATTACAATGCATGAAAAAGTGTATGTAGTGAAACCCAAAGAAAGTGCTTTTATTGCTTAATGCTTCCTCAAGAATGTAAAAATGAAATAAAGGAACTTAAGTTAGCTTTGCTCCCAACTGGTCTGCAAACCCCTGAATGACCATGAGATGGCAGCAAAGAGACATAGAAAACACTAACGCTCTGCTGTTTTCCAGTGGTCATTTAGATGTTCCCAATCCAGAACTGGTTGCTCTACTCAATGTAAAAATAACAGTTATTTTTAGCCCTAAATAAGTAAAAACGAATAGAAAAGTAGCAAATCTACTACCCAATGCTCTAATTTGATTAAGTCACATTGTTTATAAAACATCTGGTCCTCTTTTCTGAATAGCAGAGATTCCCAACAGCCTGATTGCAAAAATGATTCTACTACTGACATAAAGGAGTTCCTAATACTTTGACAGCATTGGGTTGCAAGGACCTATGTTTTCTCCAAAAAAGTTCAAGTGTCTTTGACGAACCAGAATAAGTTGATTTGTGACATATTTACATATATGTATGTATATATGTGAGTGTGTTGCATATACTTGCAACTCCTACCAATTTCATCCAGGATACATAGCTGTAAGGGGAGAATGAATGCAAAATCCTGGTTGGTCCCATTTTAATCTCTGTTTAACTTCATTTGGCACTCAAGCTTGTAATTTACCCTTGAAAAAATATGCACCAGAGATTTATTGGTTTAAGGGTACCTGTTCCTCAACCAAAAATGTTTCTCAACTACTCTTCATATGAAAAGCTTTTGGGAATCCTTCTTATTTGATCTGCATTTGTTATATATTTAAAATGTTTAACAGACACTGGATTACAGGCACATTTCTCTTAAGAAAGGTCATGTAAAACGTACACTGAAAGGTACAGTGAGTTATTGATCCCTTTGCAGAATTCTCCAAATGGACTTTTAATATTCTGAATCATTTAAAGGACGGATTTTAGTAGGAACATTGGAATCTAGAATGCAATTCCTTCATATCCATAGAAAAACACAAGAGCTTCCATGTTATAAACCTGCGAAGATACATGAGTCGTGTTGCTAAATAAAACAAAACCATTTGCGCCTCCCAAAAAGAGAGACCTTCGATAATATTTTTGAATTTCACTTCTGCATTTTGTGGTGGGTTTCCAAGCTTTTTCTGCACAACCGAAGGCCACAATGCCTACACCACTTCCTAAGAAATGGAATACTGCAGTGATAGGAGCCAGATTTGCTCTGCCTTTTTCCACAATGTCCTTGTGGAAGTGAAGTTCCAGGAGTGGCTTGAAATCTCCCATCTATATGAGATGGACAACAAGGACCGAAAAGCCTGATCCTAGTGCTAACCCCACCTGCAGGAAGAGCATCATCAACACTCCTGCTGCTTCGGATTGTTCCTTCGGTGTGACTTTGGGACCATAAATAATCGATAATGTACTCAGGTAGCCATTGCTGAATCCTAGGAACACGACAAACACCATGGGATACACATCATGGGCAAAGACGACATTTGCAATGTGCACTCGAGGCTGAAAGTTGCATAACATGAAGACGGGGATGAACAAAGTTCTCAGCAGAATCATCGTTGGTAGCCACTTGCTTCGTGGTCCGGGAACCTGGACCCAGGCGGTGCTCTGCCGTCCACACCAGTCTGCAAAATTGTACAGAAGGAAACTAGTGAGAGGTATGAAGTATTTATCTGTCCATGGACTCCCAGAGAATTTGTTCACCGACTCGATGCTGGACGAGACTGCAGGGAAAATGGTGATCGAGATGAAGTAGACGTAGAAGACACAGAAACCTAACATGCCAGTTTTCTTCAAGATGAGCCACAGAGGAGGGATTTTATCCGTGTAGTTTCTGTTTGGCAAGAGCTGGCTGGGATTCTCTGCTGCCATATCCTCCTCTTCCTCCAAGTAACTGCTGGGCAAAGAGTTAGGTGGCAGCCTTGCAGTATAATACCTAAAAAAGGGGGAAGGGGGGAAAAAGTCAGAGAAAAGCAAACCAACAGAAAATTGAAATCAAGATAGGAAAATTAGGAGATGGAAAGGAGCTGTCAGCCTCTTTGATGTTTGCTTGCTATCGGCTACCATAGTAATGGGGACGGGGTGGGGAGAGATTGGCATTTGGGTGGGGAAGTGTGCTGGAGGAGATGGCCCGTGTGAACGAAAAGGGAGGATTTTTCACGCAAAGAATGGACTGTCATGTTTGAGGTTTGCTTTAATTTGGCTCCTCGGACCAAGCAGGAAACTTGATTCTACAGAAGCCTTGATGCCGCTTCCTAAGTCTTTTCAAAATTAAAAAAACTGTACTTTTTTTCATAGAGGAGGAAGGGAAAACCCTTCAACCCAGAGGTTACCATTGCTACCGGTTTGCAAATGTGAGTATGTGCACTTGCTCGCTCCACTCGCATGCATCACTTCCGTGCATGCGTAGAATCTTCCCTGCATGCGCAGAGCATAAAAAACGGACGTGATGATGTCCAGGCGTGTGGGCGGAGCTTGTTACTGAGTGGGCCTCCAAAGGTAAGTAGAACAGCGAAGGGAGGGAGGAATTCACTGTACTATGCAATTTAGATTAGCTAGAAAGCTGGAAAACCTGCTTTTCAGATAATATAAATTGCACGGCACAGCTGATCATCGGAAATACCAGTTCATTTGAACCGGTAGCATTTTTTTTACTACCGGTTCAGGTGAACCAGTCCGAACCAGTAGCATTTCACCCCTGCTTCAATCTGTTACTTATTTAGGAAGAGACTACCCCAACATTGGGAATTACTTTCACAGGATGTCCAAATTTAAAATTATATCTAAAGAATGCAACCTTGACAGATGCGTTGCATGTATTTGTATTTCTATTTCTATTTTATTATTTGTATGCCGCCCTTCTCCGGGAGGACTCAGGGCGGCGAACAATTCAAGGGGGGAAAAAAGGGGGAACATAAAAAGACAAAATACAAATAATAAAAGTAGACAACAGTCGCACAACCATACATGTCGAGAGGGGAGGGAACTCATCACCCCCAGGCCTGCCGGCAAAGCCAGGTTTTGACAGCTTTTCGGAAGGCCTGGAGAGAGGTGAGGGTCCGAATCCCTGCGGGGAGTTCATTCCAGAGGGCCGGAGCTGCCACAGAGAAGGCCCTCCCCCGGGTAATAGCCAGGTGGTATTGGCTGGTAGATGGCACCCGGAGGAGGCCAACCCTGTGAGATCATGGAACTTAATCCATGAGAAAATATTGACCCTTTACCAAATTACAGAGGAAGTTTGACCAGTTCAGAGAGAAATTCTGTCTAACCTAGGTGTGTGGGGCTATATTTCAAATTAATGTCTTCCTGGGCGAACTGATTATGAATTTGGGGACAATCAAATCCAGCTGAGTTGCTCGATTGCGTAAAAGATGCTGGAAAACATGCCAGGACAGGCTTGAGAAAAGAGGCCTTAAGAAAGAGCTGCCAACCATGTTACATTGCAAACAAATCAATAGCAACAAGAAGGATAATTTAAAAATTAAAAAAAAGAGAAAAGTCATCCCTGAATCTAGCTCCAATCCTGGCACTTTATCTGCATCCTTTCTTTGGCAGCCTTGAAAAGTAGTTTTACATTCTTTTCAACAGATTTTTTTTTCCCCTGCCAACTTTCCAGTTCAACCCCACAGCTGTGGAATTCTTTTATGGCCCTTTACCAAAATACTAACCGGGGCTAAATGTGTTTAGCTTCCAAGATCAGTTAAGGACGGTTAGGTTCTTCTCCTTGCTCAGAGAAGAAAGATAACAGCCAATCTATAAAAGCCAAATCCCAGTTCTGTTAGAAGATCTGGACAGGCTGGGCTCCTCAGTTATAAGTCTGATGGCCGCCCCAAACACAATTGGCACTGAAACTGGGGTAAGTTTTATATTGACACTGTATCCATACCAGATTGTATGTTTGGGGGGGTTTTGGGCCAGGGAAGAAAAAGGAAGGAATATATCATTGTTGTGGTCTGCTGGTAGCCAGCAAAGCTGGCAGCAAATTCAGACAGTGAGGAGGTTGGAGAGGAACAGGGGCCAGTCCTGGAGTCTGGGGAAGGCTCTGACAAGTGCTCTGTGTCGGAAGCAGAGAGTGGGCCAGAGCCGTATGCCAGTTATCAGAGTCAGACATCAGTGAAGCAGAAGAACAGCTGGAGCCTGTTCCCAGTGTACGCATACGCAGAGTTGACAGACGAAGGGAACAGCTAAAGAACAGGGGGCGACTTGGGAGTAAGGCCACAAGTGGACAATGAATGGCCCCTCCCAGAAGAAATAAAAGGAAATAAAAGGAAATTTGCAGATATTGGCTTGGGCCCCTACAGGCATCCCCAACATGAGTGACATCAAACTGGCTATGCCTACCTTGGCCACACCCACCCCAGCTCCCTGAGATCAAACACAACCCTGATGCGGCCTTCAATGAAATTGAGCTTGGCACCCCTGATCTAGGCTGATTATTGATTTAACTGGACAATGGTTGTTACCTGGCGTACTCCAGCTTGGGAAGAAACAGATACATCACAATGCACAAAACAATGAAGACGTCCCCTATCAGGAAGTAGGCCAGAGCACTGTTTGTGACTTCCGATGATGCTGCCAGATCCACCACTGATGCCAAGGCACTCACCGTTCCTCCCATGGCCTGACCTATGTAATGAGGATACAAGGGAGATGGGGGGGGGGGGTTTGTGAGGAAGAAGAAGGGCAAATGTTAATGAAATAAGGTCCAGCCAATGCTGGGTTACTCAAAACCAGGGGTCAGCAACCCGTTGCTCTGGAGCCGCATGTGGCTTTTTCATCCCTCTGCTGCAGCTCCCTATCGCTCAAAATATGTGTCACAGCCACCAATGTGCGAAATCCGCCAGCACACGATTTATTGAGCTTTTCGACCCCCAGGAAGGCCAACCATGGATTAATCCAAGAGAAGGAAAGTTTCAGAAGAAAACAGAACCTTTAATTCAAATACATATGCTATTTTTGTGGGCGCTCAGGAAATAGTCAGGCACGGGAAGGGTTTTGTGGCTCCCGGTAGTTTCTTTTCTGTGAGAAATGGGTCCAAATTGAGTGTTTAAGGTTGCCAACCCCTGGTCAAAAACGAACCATGTTGAATGAGAATCTTCTTGGCCGCCAAATCAAAGAAGATGAAATCGAGGAGCAAGAGACTGAAATGGAGCTAGAAACAATAATCCCGGTTTTGATCCTGGTTAGTCATTTCCCCCTTGAATTCTGAAGTTTTAGTTTATTATGCCCATAATGAATTTGTGTCCTTTCTTTGAGAGGAGAGTTTGACCTCTGATGCGGCAGGAGACGCCACTGGGGCAGCCTCACGTACAGACAAGCCCAAGGCACCACATTTATGCGAGAAATGAATTTCCCCAGCAAGATGGAGAGCACTACTACAGGAACAAAATGTTGACTTCTAACTTGTCTAACTAAGGCTAACAAACTAACTTTATGGTCGTGGGACAGCAACACCTTCTCCAGCTTAGAGTCTATGATGGTCCCCAGGTGAGGAATCCTGGTGGCGGGAATGAGGTCAA